AGAACATCGAGAAAGGGTAAATCAGACTTTTGTCACCAAAGAGTACGTGATAAATGATTGCCAGTGTTCGGTAAGTGACACGAGTTGCAGCGGACAACGCAGAATTTCCCTCTTCCATGAATGGATCACAAAGGTAGCGTCAGCATTTCTCATTGCTACATGCATAATCACTTACTCTTTACTTTCCTTGATATAGGGTAGTCAAGTAGATGACGAATGGCAATTAAGGGAGCCTTACTTCGAAATGTGGCGACCATATCCTAGTACAATGGGAGAATATACTGAAGACATTTACGCCTGGGAGGAGCCGGGTAGGACACGTTGGGTTACAGATATCAATGGTGCGTTTTTTAGCCCCTCCAACCTGGTGTGGTAGCGGCAAATTCACCAGAAACCAAAGGAAAGCCTTTGAAAGGACTTCGCAAACTATGCCAGCTCAAAGCTAGTTTGGCAGACATTCGACCTGCTCTACAAACAAGCATAGGCCCAGGTGGTACCTTTTGGTATCTCGAATTTCACATAGCTCTTCACCTCCGAGGTTCTCAGCTAAGAGTGTGGATGGGGTGGGATGAAAAGGTATTTTCGAACCGTTCTAGCTCTATATTCGACCATTCACACGTACTTAGGGTATGCCTCGACAAGGACCCGTATCCATTCTCTCTACTACTAGATATTAAATCGGATCGTCATCTTCTTGTTTGTGTTTTACTAGGAACGCCGCGTGTTTCGCATACACAAGTTGTAATGCCTATGGAACGAAAGCGTGAATTTTTTAATGTGCATGACTCTAAAGCCGTCCTATTATAGAAAGAAAAGTAAGTTAGTTGGTTCGATCCCAGCCTCACACATAGTTCCCGATGAATTGGCTGGCTGACAGCGTTGATGCCTCGAAATCGCTGGCAGTTGGGCTTCCAGCCTCAGAACCATCGATGTATAAGGCGATTATTGATCGCTCATACGCCTTTTGAACCTGGCAACCACTCTCTTCGACAACTTTTCGGCCCCTATTCTACTCTCCAGCACACAGTATGACCTCCACGTTCAGGAGTAACAAGAAACATCTAGGAGATGAAAATATAATTATATCTATGGACATAGGAACCACGCACAGTACTATTCGTTCTTGGCAATCCACGATGGACACTGTACTAAACCTCAGTGGTTAGGCGCGGTCTCTTTTTCTCATCTATGTCGTGACGACTATCCCACTGTTAGACTTGTGAGTCCCCGAAAACTTTGTTAGATTCAGTTTTAACGAAACCCATAGGTGACTAGATGGCCGGGTCAGGAAAATGCGACGGGCGATGCAAAGGTTCTTATATTTCTGCCCTTCGCAAGATATGTATAACGTATGCGACAAAATATTTAGATTCCTACGATGATTGCGTACCAGAATGGAATAGCAAGGCATTTCGGTGTCGAAGCCCGAGATTATAAGCACGACGATGACTACGAGATGGCTTACTGGTTCAAGGCGAGTAATACGGGTTGAGATTGAGCATATATATTGACAAGTTGCTCAATAGCTCCACCTCCATCCCGATTCCATGAAAGAGTCAGACCTACCGCCGGCCTACGGGAGCACATCCAATCTCTCTTCACAAATAGAGATCCCTCGACTTCCTCGAAAAGTCGCTCTACGACAAATCTACTCTGATTTCATAAAATATCTCTACGATCATACGCAAGAATTCTTCGTCGAAAGTACACCGAATGGTCAAAACATTTGGGATCGTCTGGAATCCAAGATTATCGTCATCTTTTGTCACCCCAACGGGTGGGATATATCACAGCAATCTTTTCTTAGTGACTGTGCAGTGGGTGCCGGTATTGTAAGCGAAGATGAAGTGGAGTCTAGGATCGACTTTGTCACAGAGGGAGAGGCCTCGGTGCATTATGCACTCGCTTATTCACCATCAACGAATTGGCTTCAGGCAGGGCGGCTGTTTGTGGTCGTCGATGCCGGTGGTTCGACGATAGACAGTAATCTCTACGAGTGCAAGTCCACCAATCCTTTACGACTCGAGGAAGCCCATAG